TTTTTGTGTTTTTAGTAGAGACAGGGTTTCACCGTGTTGACCAGGATGGTCTCGATCTCTTGACCTCGTGATCCAGCCGCCTCAGCCTCCCAAAGTGCTGGGATTACAGGCGTGAGCCACCGCGCCCGGCTTTTTTGTGTATTTTAAGTAGAGACAGGGTTTCACTCTATGTTGGCCAGGGTGGTCTCGAACTCCTGACCTCAAGTGATCCACCCACTTCAGCCTCCCAAAGTGCTGAAGACGACAGGCATGAGCCACCTGACCCAGCCTCGTTCCTTGTATTCATTTAATTTTGTGAGGATGAATAAACCAAATGATCAGGGCGGTGAGATTAAAAAGAAAGGCAGTAGGCAGCACATACCCAGTGGGTCATCTGTCTCCTACCATCAACCTAGAGGGTTTCTCCACCTCCTACTGCTGACGTTGCAGGACGGGTATCATTCTTTTTGGGGAGCCGTCCTGTGCACTGCAGTCTGCTGAGTCTCCAACCACTCCATGCCAGCAGCACCCCCCCCCCCAAGTTGTGACAATGAAAACCGCCTTTTCAGACATAGCCACGTTATCCCCTGGGGGGCAAAGTCACCCAGAAGAACCACTGATGTATGCAATTAACAGATGCAATTAAAACAGTATTTGGTTATTAATAGTACTAGCACTTGGGGGGGTCGATAACATTCTTTCATAGTCATTGAATTCAGTTAATTGTTTTGATTTGATTCCAGTCTGGCCCGAACTGGGTGACCTTGGACAAGTGACTCAGCCTCTCGGACCCTCGGGATCCTCTTCTGTGAAATGGGGACACGGGAAGGAGCCTCGCGCGGGATGCCCACGTGCTGCTTGCCCTCGGTCCGCCCGGATGGGGTGCGGGCGGGGACATCCTGCTCCCCCGACCCCACCCCCGTCCCCAGCGTCTCCACCACTTCCGAATGCAGTTAAAGAGGAAGCGGCAGCCGCGCCTGCGCCCGCAGTGCCTAGCCGGGAGCTCCGGACGCGCGCGCGCGCGCACGCACGCACGCACGCACGCACGTGTCCCGGCCCGCGCGCTTCCCCCTCGCAGGGGCGGGGCCAGGGCAGAGACTCCATTTCCCAGAATGCCCCACGGCCAAGCCCGGAGCCTCTGAGGTGGAAACGGGACGCTCAGTCCCCTCTACTGCGGCGGCGCAAAACCCGCTGCAGGGACGCACGCACGGACGGAGCACCCCTGGCCCCGCCCCCGGAGGCCCCGTGCGAGAGCGCGCCCGGGCGTGCGCAGGGGCGGCGGCGCGGCGGCGCGGGGACGCGCGGTGACCGTTGGCGCCGAGGGGAGGAGGCAGCCGCCGCCGCCGCCGCCGCCGTTGCGCAGATCCGGGCCGCGGCTGTGGGGAGGGCGACGGAGCTGGTGACCTTCCGGAGGCGGGAGCGAGCGAGGAGGCCCGGGAGCGCCGAGCGCCGCCGCCGCCGCCATGAACAACTCGGGCGCCGACGAGATCGGGTGAGAACGGGCGGCGCGGGCCTGCGTCTCCGCCCCGGGCCCGGCCCGCAGCCCCCAGCCGCCCGGCCTCCGACGCCGCCCCCCGGGGCCGCCCCGTCAAGGTCACGCCGGCCGGGGGCGGACTCGGGACCCGGACTCGCCGCGGCTTCGCGCCGGGGGCTCTGGACGGGAGCCCGGGGTCTGGGGGTCCGGGCGCCCCCGCCGCCGCTTCCCGGCTTTTCGTCCTAGGGGACCGTCAATGGGGGCCTGAGGGGTCGGGGGGCCCCGAACGGCCACCTGGGGCAGTCCTGGGGCGCCCCTGCCGCCGCTTATCGACTGCGCGTTCTGGGGGACCTCGAATGGGAGCCTGAGGGATTCGGGGGGCCCCCGCCGCTGCATCCCGGCTTCCTGACTGTGGTGGGCCGGAACGGGAACCTTGGGGGGTCTGGGGCGCCCCCGCCGCCGCCTGTAGACTCTCTGGTTTGGGGGACCCCGAATGGGAACGTGAGGGAGCCTGCGGGGACTCCAGGGCGTCCTCGCTGCCGCTTCCCCGCTTCCGGGCCCGGGGCACCCCGAACCGTGGCCTGGGGGGGCGGGCAGGGGGGCGCCCCCAGTGCGCGCCCAAACTTGGCGGGCGGCGCACGTGGCGAGCCGAGCCGAGGGTTCCGGTTCTGGCGCCGCCCAGCTTCTCCCACTCGGGGCTCCGGGCTCCCCGCTCCCATCCCAGCCCCCAGAGTGGCGAGGACGGGAGGGGTTCGCAGACCCAGGGCCCGCGGGGCTCGGCTCAACCCCGGCTTGCTGTGTTTACGTTGTCTCGGCGCCTCCCCGCCGGGGGTGGGCTCGAGCTGCCGACGGGAGCGCGTCCCCTCCGATCGCAGCCTGGCCGGACCCCGCGGGGCCGGGAACCCTCCTTCCGCGGGGTCGCGGGGCTCGGCTCTGCTCTTTGGCAGCGCTAACGTTCTCTCAGAGCCGTCTTCTTCCGGCAGAACAGTCTGGGTTGGGCTTCCTCGTGGTCTGGTGTAAATTTCTCAGTGCCCTCAGCTTTAAGCAGCGCCCTGAGTTCTCAGTGCCGGGATTGGCCCGAGCTGGAGCGGCTGCTGCGAGAGGGTGGTCTGGGCAGGCCCCTCCCGCACATGCCACAGGTCATGCTTGTGGACGGGGAAGGCCTTTTTGTGGGTTCTCCCCCTCCCCAGACAAAACAAAAGAGCACCTTCCTTTGGAGAACTGGGATGTAAGCACTGAGCCCCTGCTTCACCCATGCTGTGAGTCCTCTCCAGGCACTTTGACTTGGCAGGGGCCGCGTGCCTGGGGGGAGACATGACTTGGATGGGGCCCTAGCGGAATTGGCCAGAGCAGGGGCCCCACCGGCCACGGGGAATGGAGTCCTGGACTTTGGGATGATGGGGGGAGGGGGCTCCCAGGTGGAGTGCCTCCGTCAGTTCAAGCCACAGGTGAGCGTGGGCCCGCTCCATCCAAACCGAGGCTGCAAGGAAGCTGGAGAGAGGTGAGGGCTACTCCCCTTCCCTCCCTGCATAGACATCCTTAGAAACTGGGGGAGCTCGGGTTCCAGCCACAGCACAGACAGGCTTGTGGGACGCCATGGGCTGCGTGGAGGGGACTGGAGTACATGGACCCTATTCTCTTCCTCAGCTGCCAACTCTGTCCACATCACCTGCCTTTAAAGCTGGAAGCCCTGGTTGCCCAGGAGTGTCCACTGCTTTCTGAGTCAGACTCGGTGGCCAAGAAGTGTTGATACAGCTACATTTTGCGTGGGAAACGGGCTTCCATTCTGTGTGGGAGTCTATGGTCTACTCTGAGCTCCTTGCAGTGTGGACTTGTGTGGGTGAAACCCTTGTGCCCCTGTGAAACGCCCTCCTGGCAGGTCCCCTGCAGTTTCCTGGGAGGCCACAGAGTCAGCCCTGTGGGGGATGCCATGCGGGAGGGTGCTGAGCTTGGATGGAAGCAGGTCCTCTCTGTGACGGATGGCGGCTTTCAGGATGCCATGGGTCTGTGATTTCCCACTGCGGGGCCTCGGCACCTCCTCAGGCTGCCCCTCTTCCTCACCCACATCCCTCACTGCTCACTGCCGTGGAGGAGGCAGGAGGCAGGAGATCCCTCCGGCTCCCAGCAAGCCCTGCGTCTGTCGCCACAATCGCTGCTGGTCCGGCTAGGCCTGGAGCGCACCTGGGTGCGGGGTCAACGCCTCAGGACAGTTGGAGCCTGCAGCTCGCTGTTCTGGGACACTTGTGGCCACCCTCGGGGAAAGCTCTGTTTTTGAATTTGAGTCCAAGAAGTCTTTCCGAGTTTTGAGGGTACTGATGCTGGCTTAGAAGTCCATGTAAAGCCTAATGGGGATGAAAGTCAGCTGAGGCCTGTGGGTGATAAAAAGTGCCTTCTGCACCCTGACTTCTAGTCAGCCTGGGAGGGGGCTGCATGCAGGAGGAAGCACACAGGAGAGGTGGCGTGTGGGGAGCCCCTGTCAACCTTGCTGGGTTTGGCACGCGGACCCTATGTGCTGGACGTGATGGGCGATGTTCTCATTTGGGATTGGGGCCTGTCCTGGTCCTCTTGTGAAGGGTGGGGGACGGGCAGTTACCTGTCTGGAGGGTTAGAGGGACAGTACCAGCTGGTGGCCTGTAGTGCTGAGGGCACAGGTGATCAGTAAGGCCAGAGTCTCCACTCTGCCCTCCCTGGCCTTGTGAAGTCCTCTTCAAGTCTCTGGGTTGAGCACCTTGAATTGGATTCTGGGAAGCTGACACAGTGTGGCCGGGGTCACCGAGTCCTGTAGAGTAGTTGCTGGGTGCTAGGCACCTGTGTGATACGCCAGGTGTCAGGAATAGGACCCAATGCCTGGCTCACCGGGAAGGGACAGAGGCTCGAAGGGGTCACCTCGAGCGCTCAGGCCATTATATTCTGCTGGCTTCTAATGCGGAGGGCGTTGTGGAACTGGAGAGGGAGTTTTGTGGAAGATTTTATCCGGTAGGTAAACCGGGGAATGGTGAGACAGGGACACCTGCACATGTTTAGGGAAGCCACAGAGGGAGGAGGGACTCAGCGGAGAGAGGTGAAAGCAGCCTCTGGGCAGCTTCTGGGGAACGAAGGACTGTGGTGGGGCTGAGTGGTTTAGAGCCAGAAAGGCCCATGGCGGGTCCCTCGGTTCATTGGGTGGCTGTGGAAGCAGAGACTGAGTGGGGCTCCTGGCTGGGCCTGGAGAGGCCGTGACCACTTGTGCGTGCCCAGTGAGCACAGGCTCCTGGGAAGGGGGATTGCTGGTCAGTTCAGGGGCCATCATCTGGGGGAGGCTGTTGCAATGTAGGGAGTGACGGGAAACCTCATGGGGCTGCGCCAGGCCTTTCTGGGGCTCTCGTGGTGCATTTGGGTTATTTTGAGGCAGATGTCCTGGGCTCTGTCAGCACTCTGGCCTGGATCACTCTGGGCAGGGAATCCTTCTGGGCACTGCAGGGCGCTGGGCAGCATCTTTGTCCTCCACTTGCTCTGTGCCAGGAACACCCCCACTCATGACAACCACAGATGCCCCCAGACATCAGCCTGTGTCCTATGGGGTGGGGGAGACTCGTCCGGGTGAGAGCTGCTGTCTGGGAGCATCTGTGCTCTTGGCCTGGTTCCCACCGCGTTGGGGGTGGCAGCTCCTTGTGGTTTACGACTTGTCCTGTGCTGGCTCCTTTGGTTCCTGTGAATGGGCCGTGAGGTCAGGGTGCTCCTGACTGGCTGCTCCTTGGCTCTGGTGGTCTGGAGCAGGCAGGTGTCTAGAAAGGCAGCAGCATCGCCCTGGCGCGTGCCCTTCACTCAGCAGCTCCCCAGTAGCCCGGAGCCAGCAGCAGCGCGCAGCATGCCCAACTGGTGCTTGTTTCCTTGACTAACGCTCGGCCTTTCCAGAGAGACAGAGGCACACAGGAGTTAAGGGATTTGCCCAGGGTCCCCCCAGCGAGTGGAAGAGCCTGAGCTGGGGATCCACACTCCTCCACTGCCCGCCCCACACAGAGAGCACTCCTGGTCAGGCTGCTGTCTGCGTGGTGTGGTCTGTACATCTGAGGTGCTGTCTTCTGTGGACTGAGGCCTTTTCCCATCCAGGCCTGGTCCCCGTGACACTGCGCCATGATGTCAGAGTCCCTGAGAGCTGTGACAGAACCTTAGGCAGAGGCCACTCATTTGACAGACGCTTATGGGCTGAGGTTCCAGCTTGGCTCCAGGCATTGGGAAGGAGGACACTGGTTGCCTGGGAGGGAGAGGATGAGGGCGACCACAGTTAGCACCCAGGATGTGGGCATTCAGTGCCCCCTTCAGCACACAGCAGTGCGTTACAGTTCACGGACTTCGGATGTGTTCTGTGGACCCCATACCCTGCCAGCGTTGGGGTGGTGGAGGGTATCTGCCCTGCTAGTGAGGGGAACTTGGCTGTGGAAGGTGGGGCTGTGCTCACTGGCCTGAGGCAGGCAGTGGGTGAAGTGGTCCCCGTTGGCCTTAGGGGCAGGAAAGTCCATAGACTCCCCACACAGCAGCCGCCACTGGGCCTGGGGTTCCGCCTCTTGCGATTGTGCCCAGAGCTGAGTGTGACCGGCAGAGCTGAAAGCCAGGTGGGGCCTGTGGGGTGGCTGGCTCCTCCTGGCTTGGTCCCTCAGCCCAGCAGGAAGGGAAAGGTCCTCTGCCGACTGCCCTCGGTGAGGCTGCTGGCCCTGAGTGGCCAGGCTGGCAGCCACTTTTTGAAGCCCTCTCTGCTACTACCAGGAGGCAAGGGCTCTCTATGGCCAGCCTAGGCCAGAGGAAGCCTCTGCAGCTGAACCTTCTGCTTCAATACCTCCCCGCACAGCTGCCCTAAGGGTACTCAGCGGGCGAGGCTGCCACCCCAAACAGCTTTTGCTTTAACAGGCAGAAGAGAGTGGCTGCTCCAGCCACTGTGGGCTGAGCCCCCACGGGGTGTGGAGCTACAGGGCCTGGGCACCAGGCATGCAGATCCTGGGAGGAGGTGTTGTGATTTTTGGTAGTCAGACTGCACACCAGACTCCAGGTTGCCAGGGAAGAAGTGGGGCTCACCCACTGACGAGAACAGGCCCTTTGGGTTTGTGGGGGTGACTTCCAGTGTCAGAGAGGCCGTCACCTGGGTGATGACTCTCCCACCAGTGGGCTCCTCAGAGGCAGAGCGTGGGGAGGTTACATTTGTAGCTGACCCCTTAGTCTGCATAGGTCAGTGTTTACTGCCCAGTTAATGTCCTCGGTCCACACGGTGCCAGCCCAGGTGCAGGCTGAGCCAGCCTGGAGCTGAGGACAAGCAGACTGCCAGCCCTGGAGCCAGCCCCCGAGAGTCAGCAGCACCTCCTGTGCTGGCTGTGAGCCGTGCGGCTCCCTGGACTCTGGCGTTTACTTGTGTGAGAGTTGAGAGTTGGTTCTGCTGCCTGGGCAGTTGATGGGCAGCGTCTGGGAGGTGTCTGCCCAGGGCCCCGCATGTTTCTGGGGTGCTGGCTTCTCATCACCTGGTGAGGTTGGCAGCCAAGAGCTTTCTTATTTTATTCACTAAAAAATCCTGAGCCTCAGAAGTAGGGACTTTGTGCCAGGGCCCTGGAGGCAGTCCCTGCTGCTGAGGAGGTGACCCTGCCTCCTGGGACTTTCTGGAGTCTTCTGTCTGTAGATCATGGAGAAGGTGCCAGTCTTAGCTGGCAGCCTCCGAGCGGTAGTAAGAGAAACACGAACACGAGAAGCTTTAGCGCAGCACCAGCCTGGAGCCGCCTTCCCTTCGAAGCAGACATGCTGTGTAAAACAAAAAGCTCTCTGCCGCAGTCTCAGATTTCGTGAGTAACAAGACTCATTTAAAAAGAAACTTAAATTCTGTCACATTCTCAGTAATGAAAGATTTTTATGTCATAATCATATATGTAATTTCTGACAGGAAAATTACAAAAGTAGTAACAAACATTCCCACATTTTCTTGACCCTACAAGACTCACCACTGGCTGACATTTTGCCGTCCGGGACACAGTACCTCCTGCCCCACCTCCAGTGAACTCTGTGTGGTTTTTTTTTTTTTCAGACGGAGTCTCACTCTTCACTCTGTCAGCCAGGCTGGAGCGCAGTGGCGCGATCTTGGCCCATTGCAGCCTCTGCCTCCTGGGTTCAAGTGATTCTTTTGCCTCAGCCTCCTGAGTAGCTGGGATTACAGGCCCCTGCCCATGGTTTCTGCCTAATTTTTGTATTTTTAGTAGAGATGGGATTTTGCTATGTTGGCCAGGCTGGTCTTGAACTTCTGACCTCAGGTATCCACCCGCTTTGGCCTCCCAAAGTGCTGGGATTCAGGTGTGAACCACCGCGCCTGGCCACACTGTGTGCTTCTCTTGAAATATTTGAGAGTAGCTGGAGGCCAAGGAGCGGCGCCCCTTTATGTGGACACTGAGCTGTCTATTGTTTCCGAAGAACAACGACATTCTCTTACATGAACACAGCTCAGTGATCAGAATTGATGTGCCAAAGCAGCCGGGCACAGTGGCTCACGCCTGTAATCCCAGCACTTTGGGAGGCCGAGGTGGGCGGATCACAAGGTCAAGAGATTGAGACCACCCTGGCCAACATTGTGAAATCTCGTCTCTGCTGAAAATACAAAAATTAGGTGGGCATGGTGGTACACACCTATGAATTCAGCTACCCGGGAGGCTCAGGCAGGAGAATCTCTTGAACCTGGAAGGCAGAGGTTGCTGGGATTATACCACTGTGCTCCAGCCTGGGCGACAGAGCGCAATTCTCTCAAAAAAAAAAAAAAAAATTGAAAAAAATATTTATCTTTTTTTATTTTTAAAAATTTTGTTTAAGAGACAAGGGCTTTGTCACCCCAGCTGGAGTGCAGTGACATGATCATGGCTTACTGCAGCCTCAACCTAGGCTAAAACGACCCTCCTGCCCCAGCCTCCGAAGTAGCTGGGACTACAGGCACCACCACCATGTCTCCTTATCTTGTCCAGGCTGGTCTTGAACTCCTGGCCTCCCAGAATGCTGCGAGTACAGGCGTGATCTGCTGCATCCAGCTGAGAAAGACAGGGTTGATACCAAGTTACTAACCCACCCACCCTGTTGTGAGTTTCTTAGCTATGTATTTCTAGCCCTTCCCCCTTAATACCCAATTTTTGAAATTTAAATGAGGACCGAAACTGGACTGGTCTGACGAGTTCCTTCCACCAGGGAGGTGAGGTGGGCGGGCAGGGATTCGGTTTCTTGGAGGATACCTGCCTATTACCTGGCTGTTTAGCGGGTGCAGTGCTAACTAGAGGCTATTTCTTCAAGTGACGCGCGCGCGTGCGTGCGTGCGTGTGAATGCTTGAACTTTTATTCCAAAGGCTTATGTAAACAGACATGTTTCTGGCAGTTCCTGCTAGTCTTGAGGGCCCTTCCTTCATGGGGTGGGGGCTGCTGCTGGCCCTCCTGCTGGGTGCCTGGCCCTGTTGGCAGGGATGTGGGAGGGGCCAGGACTGACTCAGCACGGGCGCAGCCTGTGGGGAGTGAGGCACTCGGAGCCTCGCTCCTCCCACGGTCGCTAGTCCTGACCTCAGTGCTCCCTGGCCTGATTGCGAAGGGTGCGTGGGAGACGCAGGATTTTAAGTTAATGAGGCGTAAGCCTGCTGCTGTTGCGGGATCAGCATGTTTTTCTCTGAAATTGGTCTTTTCAGATCTCGTCTCTAGGCATCAGGAAACACAGGGCCACTGGCACAGCCCGCCTTAGATTAGCCTTTCTTAGGGAAAAAGAAGGAGCAGGACCAAGCCCTTGGCAGTTGGCTGTGGCAGACCCTTCACCAGGGGCTGACTCTGGGAGCTGGAGTTCACAGGCCCCAGGTGGTCGTTGATGAGTGGTGCCAGATGTGCCAGCCACCTTGCATGGCTCTTTCCTGGCGAGCTGGCAGGAGCTGGAGGAGCAGGGCTGTGTTCCAGCCCGTCGCTCCTGACCACTGGTGGGGCGGTGATGTGCTCAACCTGCCAGGGACCTTTCTCCAAAAGCATCAGCAGGTGTGGTGTGGTTGGCCATCAGGGACGTGTGGACCCTTGTGTGCCTGCTGTTTTCAGTGATGCTGGCAGTGTTCTTGGGTCTCAGGTGGGAGTTTCAAGGGTGCTCTGCTCTCTGGAGACCAAGGGTGTTGATGGTGCTGGCACTGAGTCACAGCCGAAATTCAGCCTAGGGACTTCATTTCTGAATACGTGTCCCCTTTTCCAGGGAAAGTAGGCAGGACTAGAGAGCCACCGATAGAACCATCTCTTCCCTGCTTCCTGGGTTTGGGGGAAGCTTGAATGACATCTAAGGCCCTGTGCCTCGGTAAGCCTTGTGGCCCATGTGTCTCAGACATACCCAGTGGGTGCCACGGCTGAAGCATGGTGGCACAGCCCCCATTGGGAGCTGGAACAGCCAAGGCCCCTGGGTGCACTCGGAGCTCCAGAGAGTGAAAAGATGGGCCCTTGGGCGTTGCTGCAGGTGGATGGCACAGGCCTTGGGAGAGCTCCAGCTCATTTGCCCAGAGACAGCCCCAGGATGGGGGCGAGGGCTTGTGAGGGTGGGCAGGGGGTGCCAATGCTGAGCCTGGAGCTCCAGGCAGGGCCTTCCCTGCCATCTGTGGGCCTCGTTCTCCAGTGAGCGCAGGCTCATCTGGAGGCTTTTGCGTCTCCTCACCCCGCCCGGGGCTGTAATTCAGAGGCCTTGTGGCTTTGGTGTTTAGTTTATTGTGCACATTTTAAATCTAGACTTCTAAATTCTTTTTCCTGGTTATAAAATAATTGCAAAGGCTGTAGGAAGGCGAGCCTGTGTCCCGATCGGCAGCAGCACGGTTCTGTGCGGTCACCACTGGTCTGTCAAAGGAACTCTTCACCCGTTGCGCGTGAGGTCTGCGTGTGGCTCTGTGGCCAGTCCTTTCCCCATGGCGCTGGCAAGGCTTGGGATCATCTTTCGTGTCTGCAGACAGCATGGGAGGGGCTGACTTGCCATTGCTGTGAGCTCCTCGTGGTCACGTGTGCATAAACTGCTTCCGTGTTTTGAATTGAGACCTCAGTTTGGCTCAGATGGGGGCATTTCTAAGGTGGGAGCTTGTCTTGATGGTGAATGTTTTCTCATTGAATTGCAGGAAGCTCTTCGTGGGCGGTCTGGACTGGAGCACGACCCAAGGTAGGTGGGGAAGGGGTGTCAGTTGGGCGCTGCAGACGGGCTGTAGGACCTTGGCCTTCAGCTGTGTCTGTAGCCTCTTGCTGCTGTCTTGGGTGTTTCAAAGTGCTGTTGATACTGTTTTGATTTCTGGGCAGGGAACATTGGAGTTGGCTGGGGCAGAGAGTAAGTGTGTGTTACTTTGAGACTGTTAATTTGGCCCTGGTATTTCCCATCCGAAGTTACAGGCAAGACTTCAGTCTGCAGGTTCCTAGGTCAGGGCTGAGGTGGGTGGTGGAGGCAGACAGCTGCAGCTGGAAGTGCAGAGGGCGGGCCTGGCAAGTCCCGAGTTGAGAGTAGAGGAGGAGAAGGTGTACAGCACGGTCGGTGCTCTGTGCCCACTGTCAGCATCCACAGGGGTTGTGTTTGCCTTCCCGGACTCCCACCAAGGCAGGCCGTAACCGCTGGCCGCTCCTGTGCTCACTGGCAGCCCCTCTGATTTACATGACGGCCTCAAGTGTGTGTTGGGCAGAATCCCCCAGTGCTTCCTGGACACCGCCCTGTAGCTCCCAGTTCAGCACTGCTGGGTGCACGGCTGGTGGACTGGAAGAGCGCATGTGCCTGCAGCCACTGCCTGGCGCGTGCCTAATGCTCTGGTCCTGTGTGTTTGTGTTTTGTTCCCAATTTCTGAGCAGAGACTCTGCGCAGCTACTTTTCCCAATATGGAGAAGTCGTAGACTGTGTTATCATGAAAGATAAAACCACCAACCAGTCTCGAGGGTTTGGGTTTGTCAAATTTAAAGACCCAAACTGTGTGGGGACAGTGCTGGCCAGCAGACCGCACACGCTAGACGGCCGAAACGTAAGTGTCCTTCCGGGAGCTCTCTCCCGCTCTGCCTCCCCTTGTCGTGGCTTTGCTTCATTCTGTCCTGGACTCCGATGGATGTTTGTATTAGAGCATGTTTGAAAGTGGGTTGATGTGGAGGCCGAAGCCGTGGTGCCGAGGCTGGGTAATGCAGTCGGACGCAGGGCGGATGGAGCCGGCGGGTGGGGCAGGGCTGCTGCACTGTGGCTGCTCTTGTGCTGACATCTTCTTTCCTAGAGAAACAGCCTCTTACCACCGGCTGATTTGAAACTTCCTACAGATCGACCCCAAGCCATGCACACCCCGAGGGATGCAGCCAGAGAGAACGCGGCCGAAGGAAGGATGGGTAAGGGGCGGGGCCGGGTGGCCTCCTCGTGCGTTCTTGACTCAGGATGGAGATGCGTGCCTTCGATCTGGTGTTTTCGGTCACTAAGATAGAGAGCGACAGTGTTTTCTAGGTTGACACTCGAGCAGTTAGCATCACCCAGGCTTATCAGTGCTGTGCTTTATTCTACAGCCAAGAAAATTCTTACTAGTCTATCTCAAGAAAAAAAAATGACAGCTCACGCCATTTCTTGTCAGGAGCCCTTCATCTTACCCCTGCACCCTGTGTGCCCACTGTGCTGGGCCAGGCCGTGTCGGCTCATGCTGGCCACCTTGCCGCTCCACTTGAGATCCCCTGACATGGCAACTTGGGTTTTCTGACCCGCGGCCCTGGTGTTTGCCTGGTTGACAGGGCACCGTCCTGGCATGGGGTTTCCCTGGTCTGCTTACCTTCCTCCAGCCGTGCGGTTCTTACACTGGTGCCAGGAGCCTGGTGGGGCGGTGCAGATGGAAAAGCTCCCACGCCCACAGAGCGCGCTGGACAGTGCAGACCTGAAGGCCTGCTGGGGCACCAAGTGCCAGCCTTTCCGCAGTGTGGGCAGCAGGCCGGGGCTGCAGAACCTGCATTTCCAGCAGAATCGGCTCCTGCAGGCTTCAGAACCCTTGGAACAGTTTTTTTTTTTTAAACTTTATTAGGAAACTTTTTAATTACCCAAAAAATAGAAGAATAGCACAAAGAATAGCTGAATACACCATGTAGATTTATACATCATTAATATTTTGCCGGATGTATCTATATGTGTTTCTCTCCATCTCCGTCCACATGTACCACTCCTAAGGACTCGAGGGTGCGTCCCCTAAAATTCCGTCCTCCCCACACGCACCCTCGATCAGCAGGCTGGAAGACGGCTGCAGGGAATCCTGTGTCGTCTGTCCAGGCCACGTACCCGCTCCAAAATTGTCTCACGAGTTCTCTTATAGCTGTTTTCTCCAGACTGGAATCCAGTCACAGTTCATATTCTGCCTGGTTATTAATTCATTAATGTCTCTAGAGATAACGGGCACATAGTAAACTGCACAACTTGATGGATTCCGACCCACGCATCCACTCATGAAACCATCTTTACAGTCATGGCAGTGAGCGCGCATCCCCAAAGGTTTAGTCTCTTAATTCAAAGCAGTTGGGACAACTTCAAATATGGTAGCCTGGGACAGGAGGAAAAAAAAGGACGCTGGGTGGGGTGGGGGCAGGAGGAGGGCAGCCACAGCTGAGGGGCGAGCGACGAGGCCCGGGCAGAGACGTCCAGGAGCAGGCGCGCTGGGCAGTGGGAGGCGGCAGCAGGGGCTTTGCGGTTCGCGCCATGTGTCACGTGCCTCTGGAGCTGCTAGAGGTTTCCGTGGTCATCTTTGTCACCTGCTGAAGAAGTACAGCCTGAAATCCAGCTTCATCTCTGCTCGCTTCCATCGTTGGCGCTCCCCTTCCCCAGCACTCTAAGGTCCTTGCCTGCACACCTGGCGCCTTTCCACTTTGTAGCTGTTGTAATGCAGAATAACTGAAGGCGAGGCACACACGGTGCTGTTTAGTTGAAATTCAGCCCTGCAAAAATGCTAAATCCCTGTCTCCTTGGGTCTCTATAGAAAAATGCAAAAGTGTCTCAGAAGAGCCCAGTGTTTCTGGTTGCTCTTCGGACCTAGCAGGCTCGTGGAGCGCTCTTGCCTGGCTTTCAGCCGATTCTTAAAACAAGTGCAGATTGGGCTTTGCAGCCTGCGCAACTCATGTAGGGCTTGGAGGGTCCGGCGTGAACTAACCGTTCTTTCCTTCTTCAAACAGCAGAAAGGACCCAGGAGCGATAACAGTAAATCAAATAAGATATTTGTCGGTGGAATTCCTCACAATTGTGGTGAGACAGAGCTCAGGGAATACTTCAAGAAGTTCGGAGTGGTGAGTTTCTCCTACCTGGCGGTGCGGTTGGGCAGAGCCGCTTCTGCTCGTCCTCCGCCTTCTCGGGGCTGAAATGGCAGAGCCGCAGGTGCACAGGCCTTTCAGGCTGCGAGCTCGCTCTCTCGTATTTCGCCGATGCCTGCACCCCCCACCTAAAAGATGGAAAACCCAGCCTTGGCCTTCACGGCCATTTAATGTCCCAGTAGGGTAGTTCTGCAGGCAACTAGCCTGACAGCCTTCAGGGTGTCCGCCTGATTCCATTGTGAAAACACCATGGGGTACAGTGTCAGAGAATGACGGTTACACAGAAATGGGGTTCAGCATAGTCTGGACGAGCTGACTTCCAGCGGGCAAGTGGGAAAATACCCAATCTCAGCTGAGCCTGGTGCCAGAGGGAGCTGGGACAGCCGGGAGGGGGCCAGCAGGGAGCCCTCCCAGTCACCTGATGCGGGTGTGTGCGCCCACCCCGAGGTCCTGCTGGGTCGCATCCCCTGCCCCGCAGGCCGTATTCCTAGCCCTTCCAGCAGGACAGTCCCGTGGGCCTGGGTCCAGCATATGTTTATAAGGTGGTAACTGAGTACCTAGGCCAGGAATGAGGGGCCCTGCGTGGGGCCAGGGAGCACAGGGTCCGCAGAGGAGCTGTGTGTGGCTGCCCTGCCGCTTTGAGTGAGGGCTGAGCGTGCCCTTCGCTTCCCTCGTTTGGGTAGGAAGGGCTTCTGTGGGGTCTTCTGGCTCCCACGACCCCTGCTAGGATGTGTGGCCAGCATCGTTGGCCCTTCGTGTCCCTCAGCATACACGGGAGTGGGGCCGTGGGCGGCTCGGAGACGGATGCCCATGCGCCTGCCCTGGAGCTGCTTCTGTGCGCCTTCATCTGGCCCCAGAGTGTGGGGGTTCCTGCCTTTCCCAGACAGCACTCCAGGGAGCAGCCCTTGCCTGTGCACCTTCCCCGCTGAAGGCGGGTGCGCCCCATGCGGATTCCTCGGGAAAGCCTCCTCGGCGCTGGTGCTGGGCTCACGCCACTCTCTCCTTCCAGGTCACGGAGGTAGTCATGATCTATGATGCCGAGAAGCAGAGGCCCCGAGGTAAGGGCAGATCTAGTTCGTCCTTGGCCTTCTCTCCCTGCTCCTCCCTCAGATGGCAAACTATCTCACCCGCCAGGCACACATAGGTGGTGGCTGTAGCAAACAGCCTCAGGACAGGACGATTTGGAGACAAATGACTAAAACGTGGGTTCCTGATGTGCACCCCATTCAGCCTGTCTGTGCTTCCCGAGGTCAGACGTCACACATTGTTTTTTGGTTTGTTCTTTTGGCCTTTTTATGACTCGACATCGGTGTCAGCCTGGTTTCTGTTTTTCACCGTGTCCCGGAAGAGTGTGCTGCTTCTGCATCTGACCTTCCTTCGCCCCCTCGTCGAGTCCTCCCAGTGTGGCCGGTCTCATTTCGTGTCGTCGGCTGGGCCGGCCGGCTCGGCGCAGAGTGTGGACTTCCTGTCATCCATCCCATGCTTTTTTCTTTTTTTTTGGTCCCCCCCTGAAGTCAGTGGGGCAGGTGGGAGGAGGGGTGAGGAGTCACCTCAGGGCCTCCCTCATCATTTCCCTCAGCTCCCCGCACGCCTGTCCGCATTGGTTTGTGGAGCTGGGGCGATGGGCGCCCAGTTTCTGTGCCCCTTTTCCGTGGCTGCTGCTGTCTGTCCCGCCCGCATGGTTTTGGTTCATCAGCCGCTTTTGGCCAGCCACACGCGCAGATCCGCAGCCTGGGTCTGCCCGAGGCGTCCGTGCCGCCCTGCACCACCCGCCAGGTCAGTCGGGGCAGCCCCGAGCGCCACGCGGCGCCACAGCATGGCCGCCATGCTGGAGCATAGTTTGCCATTTGAACCTCCCTCCCCACGGTTAGGGCGTGTTCCTCCTCCATGTTGGTTACGCTGTTAAGTCTTAGTCGTAACTTAATTTAGACATACATGCTTAGTGACGTACTTAAGTGTCTCATAGTAAAGTACAGTAATGTTAAGTAAGTTGTTTTTTCTTTTTCTCTCTGTGAATTGTTTGTGATTAACGATATCTCTTTAGATTTCTCTTCTCCAGGTGCTAAATTATATCACACAGGTACAGGCCAGTCCCGCAGTCAGAGGAGGGAGCGGCTTTGCTCCAGTGGGGTGTAAACGAAGTTTCAGGTGTTTCTGTCCCGCTTCCTCAGTGGTGATGTCGCCTCTTGACAGCCGCATTCCTAGACAGCGCTCAGGGCGCCTCCCCCAGGACCCAGCGCCTCTTGCACTGTGCCCGGACCAGGCGAACCCTGTGGTTTCAGACACTCCTGCAGTTTGAGAAAATGTCTACTTCTAAATATGTTGTTTCGTCACCGATGCCGTGTTCCAATACTGCCTCTGATCTCGGGAAACTTGAGTGTGCGGAATCCGAGGGTGGCTTCTAGATCCTCCCGCCTCCCCTCCGGCTGCCCAGAGCTGGCGCCCCTTCTCCTTGCATCCTGTCCCGTGTGGACGGGATGTGGCTGGCGAGTGTCGCTGAGTCCACGCTGGTGTACAGACCACTTCGGGGCCAGCATATGGCCACATGTCCTTAGTTGTCGGGCTTTGAAAGTGTCCCTTGGGTGTCAGGCAAGCAGAGGGCAGGAGAGACGCCATGGCGCGTCTTGGCGGGTCCTCCCAGAGAGCGTGTTCCCTTCCTTGGCCTTTCTTCCTCTTCTGAGATGGGTCTGTGTTCCTCTTCCCGCCACCTCCCTCTTCCTCTCCATTGACAGAAGGTTGTGGCCACGTCCTTGTCGGGGACCCCGCATGTGTCTCGGGCACACAGTGTCTGCGTGGGTCCCTGCACGGCCCTCCCACGTCTGCCCTCGGCCCGCCCGCTCCAGCCGCTGCCTCATTCGCCTCTGGCCCCGCCTTGTCCTCGGGTCTTCTTCCTGCCTCCTCGCTGTGTGCCTTGCCCTCCTGGTCCCTCTTCCTCCTCTCCGGTCAGGTCGCAGACACCACGTGCAGTCATGCTGAGGTGCATGCGTGTGCTCAGGACGGCGGGAGGCTCCTCAGCCGCGGGCGACCTTTGTCCTCTCACAGTCTGAGCTGCCCTTTCTGCCCCGTTTCCATCTTTTTCTCGCCCAGTTTTGCTTGTCATGTTTCTGCCTGGTCCCAGCTACAGCAGCCCCGGCCCCTGTTTCTTGAGCTTGGGTGGCCCCATGGTGGGCCGCTCCTTCCGGGGGCCCTTGCCTGCTCCCACCCCCACGGCCTTTCTCTGCCGTGCTCACGCCCTTGTCGCGCTGTGCCCTGCTGTGTGGTGCTTTGTCACACACCCCGTGCCTCTGGCGGGCGGCCCATCTTCAGCCCCATCTCCACTCTTCCCTCGTCCGTCTTTGTTCTGTGAGGTCTTGGGCAGCTGTCTGCCGCGCACTTCCTTCCGTTCAGCACACAGGCCACCTGGGGAGGTGCTAGCGTGGCCGGGGCCCCTCGGGAGGATGGTGTGCTCCATGGTGTCGCACTCCACCCAGCCGGGAAAGCCTGGGGAGCCCAGCGCACTCCTGCGTAGAGGACGAGACCCACTCCGTTAGCCGGGGGCCGCGCTCACCCCAGACCAACTAAACTTCGTTTATACTGCCACTCTCTTGTGTTTGGAAAATGCTAAATTTTTTTTGCCTTTAAAATTTTCTGTTTTGATCCCATGGTGCATCTCGCTCTTGCTGCTGACAGCAGAGTCTGACCTGCTGGAACCCGTTGTGGCCTGTATCTTTGTGCACTGTTAATCTACCTGTGTATATATGCATATATGCCTATGATACGACTCTCCTAGGACTCCTTGGGCTTACCCAACGGTGTTGGGTAAGCCTAGCGAGGCATCAGCTGTGATAGATACTGTACTGTTAACGCTTTAGAACGATACGGCTGCTGTCAGCACTAGCTGCAAAGCAAATTGCAAGCCGAGGGGGAGAACCCTGGGTTTCAGAGAAGCAGACACACATCCACGGTGCATACCCCTGACGGAGACGTAGACTTCCACGCGGGCTCCCGGCCTGCAGGCTTCACTGGCCATCTCTCCACAGGCGAGAGCCAGAATACTGCAGTGCGGACCTCTGACCCTCCCCTGGGGGTGGTTTGTCTGCCAGTAGCAACGGAGGCCCTCACCGTTGTACTGCCTCGGCTGCTGCATTCTAGGATGTGCTCCTCGTTCCAAATGTGTTCCTGACACAGAGCCCCAGCCCTGGGTGTCTGGGCTGGAGACCTGACTCAGGCCTCAGTCAGCAGAGCCGTCACCGGGAGTGTGGACATCACCGTCTGTCCACTCTGTGTCCTGCCAAGTGGCAGCTCCTGGGGAGGGAGGCAGCGCCCCACACACAGCTGAGCTGAAACCCGGGGTCGATCCCTCGGCCCGTCCCTAATACTGTTCATCATCCTGTTTTGTGTCACAACACCCTGCTACCTTGATTCACTCTTCGTCGTTGGCTAGGTTTTGGATTTATTACTTTCGAGGACGAACAATCAGTGGACCAGGCTGTCAACATGCATTTTCACGACATCATGGGCAAAAAAGTGTGTAGTTGTAGTTTTATTTTACCTTAAGACCAAACCAAGTCTTAGGCAACTTAGGGGTTTCACTGGAAAGGAACATTCCTTCACAGAAAAGGGTCGGGCGAGTTCGCTCCGTGAGCCTTCGCTGCGTGAGGTGTGCGGTGGATCTGGTTCTGTAGACAGCAGGAGGGCCCCATCTTTTCCAAGCACCCTTCCCGTGGGTGGGTGTCTCCCAGCTTTGCTCCCGGAGCCCCTCCCTCTGGGTGGCCTGGGACTGGGGTGGGGGGGCCCTGGCGAGGCCCTGGCGGTGTTGGGGCTGGCTCCAGTGAAACCGCAGCGTTGCCTCAGGCTTGGTTTCCATGACCACTCCTTCAGATGTCTGCAAATCCCCATTGTCTGACACTGACCTGTAATGTGATCAGCAAGGGACCTTGGAGAGCCAAGGTTCCGCTTAAAACCGAAAGAAAAATGAAAACATCATGAAGGATTGGTTGTTTTAATTGGGTCACTTACTGTGGAACTCCGGCACCAGCCACATGCTCTCGGTAGTACTCAGCCACCATGCAGTCAAGTGACCTCTGGTTGTGTCATCTTCATACTGTGTTACCCCCGGAGGTGAGAGGGACAGGAGGCCACCACCCCCCCCAGGCCAGCCCTTGGTAGGTGTATGTCAGAAAGAGCTTCTTCCTAAGTCCTTGTTTTCCCTGGACCCTTGGAGGTCCTTGAGAAGTGGACTCTGAAATAAATAACTGGTAGAAATTCTACAGTGTGGAATTTCTTGCAGTTAGTGAAAGCTTAGGGGTCCAAGTTTTTGCAGGATTCCTGTCTTGGTTCTTTTAAACCAAGGAGCTCTGCTGGCCTTGCCAGGCTGCCTCACACACCGAGGAGACTTCCATGGTGTGGCAGCGTCAGCTGTTAAGAGAAGATGCTCAGCCTTTTGGACAAAGCCATGCTTATTTTTTCAGCTAAAATGTCCCGGAGGGAGCCAGCCTCATGCTCATTTTCCCCTGCCCCCGCCCTCTACCCCAGCCCCGACCATTTAAAGGCAGGAGCACGTGTAGTTATTTTTGTATACAGGTGGCTTTGATTGGTTGCAGTCTTCATTCCATTCGAACCCAACTAAAACAGGAGACACCATCCTTGTTCCGACACCCGCTGCAGCGTTTGGTGTAACGTTAGCATGCAGGCTGCATGAACCCGCAGTACCAGCACAGGTTCAAAGGAGTCTGCGATCACAGTTTTAAGGTGCTACCATTGACAGTTAGGGGCTAGCGTGGTCTTGATACGTGGGACAGAGAGGGCTCTGTGCAGTGCACACACCTGATCTCGTCCCTGGGCAGCCCGCGGGTCTCTCTAGCCATGACTGTCTGCATGAGCCTCTGAGCTCGGCGGCCTCAGTGTGGGTCTCGCCTCCCAAGGAAGACAGTCACTGGAGTCCAGCTTGCCTGGCACCAACCTTCACTGGTCGGCCAGACACGGCACTTGGCATCGCTGCCAGCCCCTCGTGGGGATTTTCCATAGAGGTTTGGTCTCGGATGCTAGTTTACCTCCATGCCAGGCAACTGCATTGCTGTGTTAAGACAGGAAAGGGTAAAAGAATTTTTCCCACGTGCAAGGACTTCTCTGCTTTGGAAGCAGGGACCACAGTCCTCTAAGGAGAGTGTGTGAAGACTCGTTAATTTGAGTTCTTTGAGACTGGTCCCTTGGTCCTGCTGTCCTGCCTTGAGCTAACGGGGATTCTGTTGCCATCATAGGGCGTCCTTGGGGCATTGGGCAGGCAGGTGGGGGCTTTGTGCCTCTGTGGCCACCGCTGTCTGTTCTCTAATGGACAGAACAGAACGCAAGACGCGTAGTGCTCAGACTGAGACCCCAAGGCTGACTCCAGGTGGATTCATTGCCTCTTTATTCTTATTAAAATTTACCATAAAAATAAGACAAATTCAGCAATCTCAAATGCTGAGGCAGCCCTGGACCTGGGGACTCTTGTCAGCCCGCCCATACTTGAAAGCAGGCATTAAAGAAAGGTCGGCCCCTGTGCCTAGAATAAGTAGGTCAGGCGTGCTCCATCCTTTGTCCCAGGCCCCGCACCCGCCTCCTGAGAAGGCTGTGGCTCCTGAGCGTCTAGAGAGGAAGGGCCCCGGGCTGTGGAGCGAACACAGTATGAAGATTGCTTACTGATCCAAATGTCCATTTTATTGCATGTTTGTTTACTTTTTTTGTTAGATGTAATGTAAGATTCTCTTATCACATCCATTCCCTCTGACATTATTTTTGAGTTAATTGAGATTCTTTAAGCGTTAGCCTGGGGAAGGTAAGTCTTTATCTTCCATTAGACATTTTAAATTAAAAAATCTAAGTAAAACACCAACCGTGTTTCTCAGGTATGAGTTAAAAACACAGGTGGGTGGGCTCCGAGCGGTCCAGAGGGCGATGAGGATGCCGATGGCTGGGAAGATCCTGGTCCCGTTTTGTCCCCGTGTTTTCAAGAGGAAGGAGGATGCTGACATTTTACTTGAGTGAAAGACCCTTCGTCATGCACGAAACTCCCCTGAGGGCTGTTGGCTCTGTCCCTGCTGCCCTGCAGCGGGTGGGCTCTGCTGGTCTTACGGTTGTATCTATTGTACCTGAGAAACATTTTTTAAACAAAAAAATTCAACAAAAAAAATTTTTTTAAGAAAAAAATGCTACTGGCCTAAATAAGGTTTATAGTTAAGTACTTAGTCTTAAGTCGTAAGTTGCTAAGTGTAGTCATAAGTTACCCAAGGGTGTGTCTGAAGGGAAGGGGGTGCTGGGACCCGCAGCCCCGTCCTAAACCAGAGCTCGGTTTGTTTAGGTGGAAGTTAAACGGGCCGAGCCTCGGGACAGCAAGAGCCAGCCGCCGGGACAGCCAGGTGCCAGCCAGTGGGGGAGCCGCGTTGTTCCCAACGCTGCCAATGGCTGGGCAGGCCAGCCCCCACCCACGTGGCAGCAAGGATATGGCCCGCAAGGTAAGGCTGAGGCAGAGGTGCTCTCGGAAACCCCCACATCTCAGACGCGCCCCGACGTACCCTGCTCGGCTGTTGCTGCGGCCCCCCACTTCTGCTGCACCTGCCAGCGCAGCACAGTGGCCTTGGGTCCTGACCAGGAGCCAGCAGAGAGCCAGCTCCCAGGCAGCACTGCAGCCTCCTCAGCAGCGGGTAGCCATGGCTTAGGTGCCTGTCCTTGGCCTGGGCCTCGCTGTCACCGGGAAGAGCTGCAGTGAGCGTCTGCACCTTGCTGCTGTGTGCCACGGCGGGTCTGAGCAGGAAAGCCTGAGTTTTGGCGTTGCCGAGTTGAGCTCAGAATCGCGGTGCTGCCCCCAGGGGGCCGTTGAGGACTGGGCAGGCGTTGGATCTTTGCCACCTGCCGTCCCCTCTGCAGTGCCCTCTGTGGCTAGGCCTGTGTGTGGCCATCCTGCCCTACTCAAGAGCTTCCAGTAGCCACAGAAACCTTGGGCTTGGCCGCAGCCTGACCCGAGTTCCAGGTCAGGGTTCCAGATGTCACTTGTCCAGGCCCCGAGACTGTGGCTTCCCTGTGCCTCGTCTCAAACCTTTCTCTTTGGAGTCTCCCCTGTTGGAAGCTGGGAGGTCCTGTGGGGACTGTCCCTGCCTTGAGGCTCAGAAGTCTCAGATTTCTCTGGGGTCCTCAGGTGGAGCTTGGAGGTCGCCCGTGCCCCAGTCAGCAGACACAGTGCCTGCCGTCTGGCAGGGGATAGAGGAGAGTAGCTTTAAGGCCTGTTTGCCAGTGGGTGGGGAGTGCTTCTCTGCTCAGGGCTTGGGGGGCTCTACCCTCAGGACAAGCAGGTTCTGAGCACAGAAGGCCCCGGGGTGGGCCCCAGCCCCGGATGCCCGTGCTCTGCGGCTCCTTGTCTGCGTCGGGCACCTGGGTGGACATGGCTCCAACCTCCTCTTCTGTTCTCTCATCCAGGAATGTGGGTGCCGGCAGGACAGGCGATTGGTAAGTCCTTGTTGATAGAGCAAAGGTGGGGCGGGAGCCACATGGCAGGCTGACTCAGCAGGCGCCCCAGGGCAGCGGGCATAGCCTGCTTCCTGTGTCCTGAGTGCTGGAGAGGAGGAGAGGGTGAGGGGCCTGCTGGGGACCCCGGCAGGCCCAGGTCTGACTGTGGCCAGGCCGTGTCGTCCAGTGCACTCTGCCCATCACCCCTGCACTGTGTTTCAGGTGGCTACGGACCGCCCCCTGCGGGAAGAGGAGCCCCCCCGCCGCCCCCACCATTCACCTCCTACATCGTGTCCACCCCTCCTGGAGGCTTCCCCCCTCCCCAGGGCTTCCCTCAGGGCTATGGTGCCCCGCCACAGTTCAGTAAGTCTAGGGGGCCTTGTGGGAGGGCCTCCTGCCTGCTCTGGAGACGACACCCAGCCAGGTGGTGGGTGGGAGTGATGGGGGTTCCTGTGTTAACACGTCTGGCTTCAGCCTCAGGGAAAGCTACAGGTGGGGTGTGGCTCCTCAGCAGGCCACCCGCCACCAGGCCCTTCACCGGCAAATGGGCTACGTTGCCTGTGGCTTTGCTGGTCAGGCTGAAGGGCAGCCCAGGCTCTTGCAGGCCGGAGAGCTCCCAGCAGGAACGTCTGCACCCGGCCAGTTCTCACAAGCCCCTCAGGAGACAGAGCCTGGACTTCTTCTCTCAGCCTTGTACTTCAGAATTGGGGGGCATTTGTTTGAGGGTGCACAAGTTCTCAGTGACTAATTTTTGTGTATGCTTCAGTTGTAATTGAAGAGCTGAGTATAAGATTAGAAGATATACCCAGAATTTCATCTTACTGTATTTTTTTGAGATGGAGTTTCACTCTTGTTGCCCAGACTGGAGTTTAGTGGGCCGATCTTGGCTCACTGCAGCCTCCGCCTCCCGGGTTCAAGTGATTCTCTTTCCCCAGCCTCCCGAGTAGCTGGGATTACGGGTGCATACCACCACCATGCCCAGCCAATTTTGTATTTTTAATGGAGATGGGGTTTATCCACGTTGGCCAGGCTGGTCTTGAACTCCTGACCTCAGCACACCCAGAAATTTCGATGGGCTCCCAGGGTGGGGCCATTGGTGCCCTCCAGTAGAGGAGAAGAGACGCAGGCCTCCCGGGGGTGTGGCTTTCTAGGATCTTGTGTTCCCTTACCGCAGAGCCAGTGGTTACTCCTCAGAGCATGCAGTCAGCATGGGCTGTATCGGGACCTGATTTTCACTTGCCGTCCTTGGGACCCGGGGGGTTTTTGACAGTTGGGGAACATCCCAGTGTGAGCTAGTTCCATCCGGGGGGCTTGGAGGCTCCATGTGGCTGTAGCACAGGAGCAGGTGGTTCCATCCTCTGGTCTGGATCAGGCTCTGCACTTGGAGGCCCGTGGGCCAGATGACTGACAGGAGGGAGCTGGGTGGAGCCTCGGCCCGCCTGACGTCCAGCAGCGGAGGGCAGGGCGGCAGTGCCTCCGTTCGGAGGTCATCAGATGGTGCCCTCACCTGTGCTGGCAGCTCCCTAAACACGGGCACTGGGCATGGTGGCGAGTTTTTGTTCTGAAGGCGATTTTGCTGTGGGGTTACTAGCCCCTTGAGTTCTTCTCTGACGCCCGCCCTGCCGCAGCTCAGTGAACTGCCACTATCCCAGGGGCGTGTGTTTCCTGGGGGGAGCGGCCTGGGTCCGTGGCTCTGTGGTCCATTCTGTGGACGTTCATGAGGCCTGGGTGGCAGTCCCGTCTGGGCAGCTCCTGCTGGGCTGGGTGCGGGTCTCCTGCTGGTCCGCCCCCAGCTGCACCACGTGGCCCGTGCCTTGCCCTCCTGTGCTTCTGCAGGTTTTGGCTATGGGCCTCCACCTCCACCACCGGATCAGTTTGCCCCTCCGGGGGTTCCTCCTCCACCGGCCACTCCCGGGGCAGCGCCTCTGGCCTTCCCTCCGCCCCCGTCTCAGGCCGCCCCGGATATGAGCAAGCCCCCGACAGCTCAGCCAGACTTCCCCTACGGTCAGTATGGTAAGTGGTCTCCTGCTGGCCCCGGGACCCCAGCCTGCCTTCTGCTTCTTCAGGCACGGCCTGCCTTCTGCTTCCTCCCCGTGCTGGCCTCCTCCCACCTTTACCTGGCAGGAAAGGATGGAGGGAGGGGAGTGGAGGTGCAGCGGTTGTTGGAGAGCGCTCGTGGCGTCTTGCCCCGGCAGAAGGGAGCGCGGGAGTGTGGGTCACAGCAGAGCGTTCGTCCACTCAGCAGGTGTTGCAGGGCCTGCGTGTGTGTGCGAAGCTGAGTGGTGACTGGGTCCAGGGAAGTGGGTCCCAGGAGGCTGTGATCACTGTCGCAAGGTCAAGGCTCTTGATGTGGGTCCCGGGTGCACTGATCCCTCGGTGTTTCCAGTTTCTGACGTCATCATTCTCCTGCTGGGTTACAGACCCTGCTTGGGGTAGAGACCTGGGTCTGTAGCAGGCCATGGCCTGGATGTGGGCTTTGCCTTGGACTTGATGGCTTTTGCGACTTGGGTGTCTGGAGGTTACCTGCAGGAGGTGCATGTGCTTCCGGGCTCGGAGCTTGGTGGGGGGTGGGGCTAGGAGCTTGATGGGGATGGGGCTCGGAGCTTGGTGGGGGGCAGGGCTAGGGGCTTGGTGGGGGACAGGGCTAGGATGGGTAAAGGTTTTGCATGTTTATAGTTCTTGACCTGCATTGAGCCTAGTGTCACAGCATCTTTGCTCAGGACCAATGCAGTGGCCTAAGTGGGTAGGGCTCCAACCACGGGCAGCTCCTCCGGCACCAGGGGATGCTCACAGGCAGGGTTTGAGAACATAGGGCGCCTGTCTCCAGGTGGCCATGGGCTTCTGGGCACATGCTTCCTTTAGGCCTGGTGGGTGCTGGGAGTGGGAGCTGTGTGTGGCCCAGGTGCCCGCCCGCCTTGCATGGCTCTGGTTCCCCTGCCCTCATGGCCAGGCCTCGGGCCCAGGTTGCTGCCTATGTGGGTCTTGACCTGCCACCAGGCCCTGAGTGTCTAAGGCTGGCAGGGGGGCATGAGGCGCCCGGTTGGGGCGTGGAGTGTGTGTCAGCCACTGCTCTCGGTGGCGGCTGCTTGGGTTGGTCACCCTGGTCTCGTCTCTTGCCAGGCCTGGGTTCCTATTCTCCAGACCCGCCGGGCTGCGGCCCACACTTTGTTTACACTCTTATGGTCAGGCTGAGCAGTGATGTGGCCTAGGTAGGTGCCGCCGCCTCTTCCAGGTTCCTCCCACCTGCCTGCACCGGGAAGTGGACGTGGCTTCCTCTGCCGCCCGGGCGGGGGTGGACGTTGGCGATGCCCTCTGGGGAGGGGCCCTTGCCAGTGCTAAGATGTTGGCTGGCTACAAGCCTTCACTGGGTCCAGGATCTCCCAGAGCCCACGCCCGCCTGTGCCCTGTGCACCTGACTGGGAACCTAGAGGGTGCGGGAGGGGCTTACTGAAGGTGTGTAGTCGGGTGGGGAATAGCCTGGCGCCTCTGTCCTTGTGAAGACACCACTGTCCACGCCCCTGAAGTCGGCTGTGCGGCTGGACCGGCTGCAGGGTGTGCTGGACCCTCAGCCATGGTGTCACTGGGGCAGTCAGGTTGGGCCCAGGACCCTTCCCTGACACGCGCCACCGACGGATGTGCCCTGGCAGGGGGACGGCATGGGGTCTGGGTAGGCCCTACATCGCTGCAAGGGCCCGTTGGGGGTTTTCTGAAACTCTGAGAGCGCTGCACTCTTCCTGAGAGCCAGCTTTCTAGAAGCCCTGTCCATGATGGCGCCTCGGGCCATCTGTGTCTCCACCCACCCCCAGCCTTCTCCAGCCTGCCCCCGACCAACCCACGGTGTCTTCAGGATTGAATGGGGAAGCGGCAAGGCCATGTGGGCCACGGAGGGCTCTGGAAGCCGCTTTTTCCTGTGTGTGCCCTGTTCACATGGTTTTGAGGGAGAGAATATGATGCCTGGGGCTCCTCTCCCTGGCTTAGGTGCTGTCTCAGGAGGGCCCCCCCCCCCACCCTGTGGGGCCTGCAGTCTCCAGGTGGCTCAGCGGAACTGCGTCCAGGCAGCCTCGCTCGACGTCAGTGCCCAGTGCCCGGGGACCGCCCCGAGCTCACAGGCCTCTCTCCCCCAGCAGGTTACGGGCAGGACTTGAGTGGCTTTGGACAGGGCTTCTCGGACCCCAGCCAGCAGCCCCCCTCCTACGGGGGCCCCTCCGTGCCAGGGTCAGGGGGCCCCCCCGCCGGCGGCAGCGGCTTTGGACGAGGGCAGAACCACAACGTGCAAGGGTTCCACCCCTACCGACGCTAGCTGCGGCAGCGACGTCTGCACGGCCCAGACCCGGATTCCAAACTTGTGAACTCGTGACAATCACAAACGTGGCGGCAAAGTAGCGACTCAACCTTGGGGGGCGGGGGGAGGGCGAGAGGCTTTTGGAGCGGCTGTGGGTGTCGTCTGGACTGAAGTTTTTAAATATTTCTTTCTCTAACCCATCAGCACAATAAAAAAAAGTCACTGGTTCAACAACAGGGTTAAAAAAAAGTCTTCAGCTTTAATTCAAAACTTCAGGTTTCTTTTTCTTCCTTTTCTTTGGAAATTATTTTCCTGAGCCTTTTGTTTTACGGTATATTGTAAACTTTTATGTTAAAGAAAAAATATACATTTACAAATTGTGAGATTTTTAAGAGAAATTTTCTACGATGTATACTGGCTTATTTTTTAATTTAAAACAGGGTTTCCGTCGGCACTGGTCGAGGGGTGCGTTTCTAGTCCCCTTGCTTTGGGGGTTGGGACTCCTTGGTCCAGAAACTCTGGGAGCTTCAAGAAGAAATCTACTGAGTGTGTTTCTGTTTTTTGTTTAATTCCTTGCTTTCGTCGACTGACCTGCTTGGTAGTGTCTGAGGTGCACTTTGGGGCTGTGCACAGCCAGCCGCGTGGACACTGGCGGTCTGGATCCCACGGCCGAGTAGGAGGCCATCTCCCCAGGCACGTGCTTCAGGGTGTTTCCCATTGACCAGTTTGACCCTGGTTTGAATAAAAAGAAGTGCGTTTGGATTAGAAACCACTTTGTGTCTGTTTCTTCCCTCCTCGGTCTTGGCCTGGGCCCATCCCTCAGTGGGTGTTGGGATGCTGGGAATTTTAGGACGTGGCCACCGCCAGTTTTCTCTGGGGATGGGGGCTCCAGGCTTTTCCCATCCCAGGACCTTTATTAAACATCTTGTGCCATGGAAGGTGACATGTCCCCAGGTTCTGGGGATTAGGACAGGGGCATCTTTTGGAAGCAATACTCTGTCACTCTGGCAGGGAAAGCAAGACTTAAAAACATAAAAAAGGGCCAGGCGCAGTGGCTCAGCCTGTAATCCCAGCCCTTTGGGAGGCCGAGGCAGGCAGATCCCCTGAGGTCTGGAGTTTGAGACCAGCCTGACCAACGTGGTGAAACCCTATCTCTACTAAAAACACAAAATTAGTGGGGCGTGGTGGCACATGCCTGTAATCCCAACTCCTCGGGAGGCTGAGGCGGGAGAATTGCTTGAACCCGGGAGGTGGAGGTTGCAATGATCCGAGATCACGCCATTGCACTCCAGCCTGGGCCACAGAGGGAGGCTCTGTCTCTAAATAAATAAATAGGTCCGCCAAGTTTCATTGGAAGCCCACAGCGTTCCAAATGTGAGATCCTGCAGACAACAGCTAGAACCCCTTGCCCCCAGTTCATGTTTTGGGGGCAGGGAAGGTCTGGCTTAGCTTAGAGAGAGCCAAGAAAAGGCGTACCCCCCCACACACCTGTGCAGTGCAGTTTTCTCACTGAGACAGTACCCCCCAATGCCTCCGCCCAGGAAGCCAGCCACGTTCCCTGCTCAGAGCTTTCTCCCGTACCCTCCGGAGCTGGCGCCCCCAGCTTACAGGAGGGCCACGGCCAGGCGGGAGCAGCCTTCTCCACCGGTGTTGCGTGTCAGCCCCTCGAGTTTGCTTAGCTGCCCCAGCTAAGGAGTAGCACACACACAATCGGCCAGCCAGCCAGGACGGTGTCTGCTGCAGGAAAATGGGCAACTTGGATGGGCCCCACACACAGGTGCTGTGTTCCTCAGGGAGAGTGAGTGGCAGCCCCTCCTGGACACAGTGTCATTGGCTTCCCTTGGGACTGTGGGGAAGGCTGGGGAGAGCTGAGCTCCCTGGATAGCGCCACAGCAAAGCTTGGGTTCCCAGAGGTTTTGGGGGTTTGTTTTTTAGGAGGGAGTTTTGCTCTTGTTGCCCAGGCTGGAGTGTAAAACCACGATCTCAGCTCATTGCAACCTCCACCTCCCAGGCTCAAGCGATTCTCCTGTCTCAGCCTCCTGAGAAGCTGGGATTACAGGCCGGTGCCGCCACACCCGGCTAATTTTTTTGTATTTTTAGTATAGACAGGGTTTCCACACGTTGGCCAGGCTGTTCTCAAACTCCTGACCTCAGGTGATCCACCCACCTCAGCCTCCCAAAGTGCTGGGATTACAGGCGTGAACCACCACGTCAGGCTGTTTTTTTTTGTTGTTGCTGTTCGTTTTTTTGAGAAGGAGTCTTGCTGTGTCGCCCAGGCTGGAGTGCAATGGTGCAATCTTGGCTCACAACCTCTGCCCCCCACCCCCACCCGGGGTTCAAGCGATTCTCCTGCCTCAGTCTCCTGAGTAGCTGGGATTACAGGTGAGCCACCACACCTGGCTAATTTTTGTATTTTTAGTAGAGATGGAGTTTCACCATGTCAGCCAGGATGGTCTTGATCTCTTGACCTCATGATCCACCCATCTTGGCCTCCCAAAGTACTGGGATTACAGGCGTGAGCCACCACGCCCGGCCAATTTTTTGTAATTTTAGTAGAGATGGAGTTTCACCATGTTGGCTAGATACGCCAGGTGATATGCCCGCCTCAGCCTACCGAAGTGTTAGGATTACAGGCGTGAGCCTCTGTGCACAGCTGGGTGCCACATTATTGTAGCAATAGTCACCTTCAATTTTATCCTTAATTCCAGTAAGATACAGGCTGGGCGCAGTGGCTGTGATCCCAGCACTTTGGGAGGCCAAAGTGGGTGAATCACCTGAGGTCGGAAGTTTGAGACCAGCCTGGGCAACATGATGAAACCCTGTCTCCACTAAAAATACAAAATTAGCTGGGTGTGGTGGTGGGCTCCTGTAATCCCAGCTACTCGGGAAGCTGAGGTATAAGAATCACTTGAACCTTGGAGGCAGAGGTTGCAGTGAGCCAAGATTGTGCCATTGTACTCCATCCTGGACAACAAGAGCAAAACTCCGTCTCAAAAAAAAAAAAAAAAAGCAACATTTTTATGTAGTTCTAGTTTCTCCTCCTCTTCCTTTTTGAGCTATCCTTATTCATGCTACATTTACATATCTTACAAACCCAGTGGTGTTTCTATCTTTATTTATTTTTATTTTTATTTTTTTTTGTATCTAATGTTGGAAAAGTATTTATTTTAACATAGGAATACATTACAAGTTCCTATCTTTATTTTTGAGCCAAGGTCTTGCTCTTGTCGCCCAGGCTGGAGTGCCGTTGGCGTTATCATGGCTCCCTGCAGCCTCGACCTCCTGGGCTCAAGGCTCAGAGTAGCTGGGACCATGAGCACGCCACCATGTCGGCTACCTTTTGTATTTTTTGTTCTGTTATGTCCGTGTGTACACAAGTTTTTGTATTTTTTTTTTTGTAGCGAGGCAGTCTCTCTGCCCTTACTAACTTTCTTTTTTTTT